TATTCTTGAATTGAAGTTTGAACCTGTGAGTAAAATCTCGGATTGTCAAGTCCCGGGTTTTGTTTATCAGTTATTATGTGAGTTTTGACACATGGGATGTTTTCTGTGCCACTCCGGTTACAAGCAGAACTATGTGAAAATGCAAAGAGCAGCTAGTGGTCTGAAGATGGTTCTAATTAACGTAGGACTTGCAGAAAACATATGCTTTTGTGGACTGCAAATGAGTCGAGTCCAATATTGATCTTATCGAGCATGATTGATCTTCTTTTTTTAGCTGCTCGAGCTCGATTTATGAGGCTCGAACTTGACTCGATATAAAATTACAATAACTTGAGTTCGGCTCGAATTTTTGTAAATGGGAAAGTAAAATTATCATCAAGCACATATGCATATATATATATATATATATATGGGTATTTTAGTAATTTATATATATTTCAACATGCTCGCCGAATGCTCGATAATGCAATACATGGGCTTGAACTCGGCTCGAGTTTGGTGAAACTCGAGCTTGAGTTGAGCTTTGACTCGAGCGCTCGCGAGCCGCTTGACTCGTTTGCAGCCCTATTAGGAACTCTCTACTTGTTTGGTCTTATGGTGTGACATATATTTTGTGTCTTGTGGCTTTCACCTAAGGGCATTCTTTATGCCAAATAATCCATTCAAAATGAGTTATTTTAGTTAACTAGAGTTAATTTAAAAAATGTGGTATGGTTAGTTGTTAGTGGGATTTTAAGAATGTATTAAAATAATATTTAAAATAAAATGACTAATATTGATTTGATGTAAAAGTAGGAATAAATGATTAGAAATGATAGGTAGTTAAAATTATGTGCGTGAATGAATAGTGATTAGAAATGTGATGCGTGAGAATGATTGGTTTGTATTATTTAATTATAAGAATAATATTAAAAATAGTAGGGTTGAGTTAAAGTTGAAATAGATTTTGAGTATGAATAAACGTGAGTAAAATTTTTGGTAAACAAGCATGCCCTAAATCTTTGTATTCTTATTTTTCTTTTTACGTCTTATGTTGGCCTTTCCTAGGGGTGTTCATCGGTCGGTTCGGTCGACCGACCGAACCAAACTACGAAACCGAATTGTTAAATTTTAGAAACCGATCCGACCGAATTAAGGGCCTAAAACCGAAGTTTAACCAAACCGAATTATTCGGTTGGTTCAGTCGGTTATTCGATTTTTTTTTTTAAAAAAAATTTATATTATATTATAAATTTATATATTAATATTATATTATAAATTTTTATATTATATTATAAATTTATATATTAATATTATATTCTAAATTTATAATATATAATATGATCTTATATATATATTATTAGGTCGGTTCGATTATCTTGGACATTTTGTGTCCGAAAACCGACACCGACCGAAATAACCGAAAAGTTACAAATTGAAAATCGACTACCGACCGAGTCAGACAAAAACCGAATCGAAATTGTCGGTTCGGTCAGTTTTAGTCGGTTTAGTCGATTTCAGTCGAATTAGTTTTAGTCGATTTAGTCGATTTCAGTCGAATTTTGCACACCCCTTTCTTATTATCTTTAGTGATTTTTTTTTTTTTTCTTTTTTATTGCTTGTTTGCAAACAATAATAGTTTTTTAGGTTAAATGGAAGTACATAATAGTTGAATAAATGGCATACAAAATGTTAAAACGAGGTAGGAAATATGCATAAATGACGACCAAAACAAATAGCTAAATTGATGGCAAAATTTCACAAACATCCAATGAAGTCTAACTCTAAGAGTGATGATCCGCGATTGTTGCAGCCTTTTTTTGAGTCTTGTGAGTTTGTGTAGGCTTATATACATACAACTCCTAATAAGTAAGGAGTCTTAAGTTATTCATTTCCTTTTGGAGCCGATTTTCTTCCTTATGCTTTCATCAAGGCTTGGACAACGATTTTCTTTCTTATGTTTCCTCCTTGACTAGATTCTTCATTTTTCTTCAAAACACGATCTCCATAAAATAATAAAACAAAGATTACAGAAATAAGGTCGACATAAATAAAGTCTATTAGATATTCATATATACTAATCATATTTAACAAAATAATATCAAAATAATAAAATTAGACATAATTAAATGAGAGAGAATTGAGAGAGTATACCCTTTTAATTCATTTGCTTGCAAGAAAAACATCAAAATATATTATTTTAAAACTTGTTGACAAAAATAAATCTTACAAGGTCTAATGAATTATGCTAGCTAAAAATAAATCTTACACGGCCGAATGCATTATGCTAACTATTCACATTTGCAAATTATTATTTGAGTATATTGTCAACGTTCTTAAAGTAGTTATACATTAAACTTGAACGAGAATTTTTTGGAAAAAAAAAATGGTGACGAAAAAATTGTTTTTAAAAAGAATCTATACTTATATTATAAGCAAACATATTTACTAATTTCAGTAGGTAGAATAGTCAACAATAATTAATGACTTTCTAATCTTATCAAGTGCATTAATTACGTGTATTTTGTTTTCAATTTTATCTCATTCAAACAG